GCAATGGAATTTCCAGCATGAATCCAAGCAACAACATAGGGCAGAGGGCACTGAAAGCGATATGAAATTTATGGAACGTGGCCTCGATGCAGATGCCTCAATGCTTAAGCTTGCCAGAAAATAATAAAAGGGTCACCGAAATATCAAAGGGGCGAGGAAGGCCAAGGGGTTTTCTGGTGAAGGAAATGGTGGAGGCAAACTTCACAAGAGGAAGAGCAACAGATAAGAGATGATCGGATTTTTCTTACTCTGATAAGATGTTAAGATGTGTGGCAGCATATAAGCACCAACATTGAATGTGGAAAGAAGAAGAAAAAACACAATATTTACTCTGATACCATGTTAAGATGTGTGAGAGCATATATGAATAGGGAGAGAAGAAGAGAAAACACAATATTTACGTGGTTAAAGACGTAAAAGAAGAGAAAACACAATATTTACGTGGTTAAGGCCGAAGGTTTACGTCCGGATCCAAAGCCCAACTGACTACATTTTCATTGATTTTGGATAAGGATTACATCAATAAGTCTGACTACATCTTCATTGATTTTGGATAAGGATTACATCAATAAGTATAAGGATTGCATTAATAAGTGCAGGATTACATCAATAAGTCATTAGATAAAGATTACATCGATTTTGGATAAGAAAGGATTACATCAATAAGTATAAGGATTGCATTAATAAGTGCAGGGTTACATCAATAAGTCATTAGATAAAGATTACATCGATTTTGGATAAGAATGACATCAATAAGTCATTGAATAAGGATTACATCAATAAGTGCTGGATTACATCAATAAGTCATTGGATAAGGATTACATCAATACGTGCTAGATTACATCAATAAGTCATTGGATAGAGATTACATCAATACGTGCCTCTATATATATAGAGGACAATCACAATGAATCTTGAAGATAGAGGTAAATAATGCTGGATTACATCAATAAGTCATTGGATAAGGATTACATTAATGCGTACTGGATTACATCAATAAGTCATTGGATAAATATTACATCAATAAGTCATTGGATAAAGATTACATCAATACGTGCCTCTATATATATAGAGGACAATCATAATGAATCTTGAAGATAGAGGTAAATAATGAGAAAGATTACATCAATAAGTGCCTCTATATATATAGAGGACAATCACAATGAATCTTGAGTCATTGGATAAGGATTACATTAATGCGTACTGGATTACATCAATAAGTCATTGGATAAAGATTACATCAATAAGTCATTGGATAAAGATTACATCAATACGTGCCTCTATATATATAGAGGACAATCATAATGAATCTTGAAGATAGAGGTAAATAATGAGAAAGATTACATCAATAAGTGCCTCTATATATATAGAGGACAATCACAATGAATCTTGACGGGAGAGGTAAATAATTAGAAACCTTATCATCAATAACTAACTTGATGACCAAATAATTTGACTTGGTCTCTTCTTATCTTCAACACCCCAATCTTTCTTTCTCCTCCATTTTATCCCTGATGCAAAATCCCTATCATTTAAAGCCCAAAATTCGTATTATTATTTCCATCGACAGCACCAAATTATCCGAACTTCAACTAGGAACTGTAAATGGAACAAAAGCCCAAAATCTACTGTAACTCCATTGTTTTTTCTTTGTAGGGTGGTTCATGGGTTTGCATTATTTGGGTTTTCGTGGTACTGTGTTTTAAGTCATGTACATGAGATTCACGGGTTTGTATGTTGATTTAGTTAGGAGACCTTTAAGTGCAATTAGAGAGAGAAATTTGAGGGTAAAATCTTTATTTTTTCATATATGTATAATTATACATAATGAGACGATCAATTTGAAAAATTTTGAACATCACCTACCATTTTTGTCAAGATATAAGATAATTGTTTGCTTTTTTTTTTTACTATTTCTGACATGATTTAAGATGAATTTAAGTTTTTGCATACAACATATGCCTTGTGCTGAACCTTTTTTTTTTAAGTAAAAGAAGTTACATGAGGTTGTGTCTTCTCACTTGTAGAAATAAGATGGTCCTAATTTACACTGTCTATTTTATTTAGGGGAAAGCTTTCTATGTCCCCCTACAACATAAAGTTCTATCCTTCCCCAACCATCCAGCCATCTATTTTTTATCAAGAGAGCCACTCACCGCTTGATCTTAGATCTGATGTCTCAAAGTATTTTATTTTTAGTTTTCCTAATACAAATTTTCTGAATATAAAATTTGGTATGTGCCATGTTTTCATTGGGGTGCACCAATAAAAAAATATTAACACTAATTTTTCGATAAAAAATAATGACCAAAATACCTTTGAATCTTTTAGGGGTATTTTGGTCATTTTATTTTATTGAAAATAATTTTTTTATATTTTTTGTGAGTGCGAGTTTAATAGAATGGATTTCCAAAATTTGGTGTCAAAATAGTTTATAAAAAAAAATTAAAAATAAAATAGTGTAAAGCCGTGACATTGTGATTGGAACAATCTTAACCCTCCATTAAAAAATAGAGGGTTGGACAAGGAGGAGGTAGAACTTCTATGTTGCAGGGTGAACATAGAAAGCTTCCCTTTATTTAGATGGTATGGTTTCAACACTACTTTTGACATGGTCTTACAACATATGTCATATCTATAATTGAAGCTGCCAATGGTTAGGGCTGGGCTTCGGGCTTTCAAACTAGGACGGGATTTCAGGCCATTCCGGGTCATGCCAGGGAAAGGTAATCCCTTTTTCGGGCTGGGTCGGGCTTTGAATGGGTTAGCCAAAAAAGGCCGGAAGACATCCTTGCCCTTCTCACTCCTCCGACCCGCAAATCCTCCCCCGCTTCTCTCTCCCCCCTTGCCTGAAAGCCCTCTCCTGTGTGTGTCTATCCCTCTTCCGTTGGCCATTTCTTACAACTGAAACATCTCTTTGCTCGCGAACACACACACAATCGAATTGGCCCCTTTCACGTTTTATAGTTTTAGGCAGCATTTCCACAATACCTTCTGGGCCCCACCTATCCTCTTTCTCTCTCTCTATCTCTACAGTAATTCTCCCCAAAATATTCAGACCCAGAAATCCCAGGGCCTCGTTTCTCCTCCTCTTTTGGGATATGGCTAGGGTTTTTCTACCCCATCACTAATTTATTTTAAGTTTTACCATCTAGAGAGAGAGAGGAAGATAGCAAAGCACTAGATCTAAAAATATATGAAAATCTTGAAAATGGATGGTCTAGATTATATGTATTGTAAGATGTATTATTTTAGGGACTCAAAAACATTTTTTTTCATATTCATGCAATTCGATGTCGAGATTATCGATTAGAGGGTTTTTTCAACATTAAAGCAACATTTTCGATAGATTTTTGAAGTGCTTATGTGATTCTACATTTTAAGGTTGCAACCTTATATAAACTTTTTCCAAAAAGGAAAATATAGAATGAGACTATTTATCGTTAGTACAAAGTGGTCACATTAATCTTGATCCATTGGATGTGAAATTGGGTGGCTACAATTTTTCCACTATCAAACTTAAACTTCAAAAGAAATTTTCTCTAATTTTGTAACACATCCAAGCTACCAAATTTCACGTCGGATAGTTGTAAGTAATTGTGACCACCTTATATAAACGGTAAATAGTCTTATTATATACAATCCCTTACTGAGTTTTATTTATTGATTTTTTTTTTCGGATTACAAAACATAAAACTTTGAAAAGAGAGATTTTAAAAACTTAATAAAAAAGAGGAGGCTTTTATTTGGGCCGGGCTCATCTTGTGGTTGGGCCCGTCAAGTTCTAGCCCAAAAGACATTTTTTCAGCTGGGCCAGTCCAATAAGGAACTTCGGGCCATTCCCCGGCTGGGCCTGAATTTATAAATTTTGGCCTGGCCTTCCCTAAGGCCCAACTGGATTGAAATTATTCCGTGATTTTTATAGCCCAATCTATATTATTCAATGTGGTAAAATTTTACAACTTAATTAAGAGCAAACCTTTTGTTAGATCGAACTGCTTATTGTCCAACCGTACACAATGCACCCTTTTGACTGTTGGGGAATGGAATTTAACCCTAACAATTGCTTCTCTTCCTTCTTTCACGGGTCAGTCAGTCACCCCCTTTTAACTTTTGGCCTTTCTTTCCACCCTCCAGAGAAAAAGTGACCCGTAGGAGACGCTATTCGTCCTTAGCCACACTCACTCACAAGACCCAAAGTCAGTCAACATAATCTTTATCGGAAAAAAGTTTAATATAGAGCGGAGGCTCTAAACAATCAGATTAAAACCCATTTCAAAAATTTCACTAGAAGAAGTTGTTTTGATGTTCAAATATCTTCAAATTGATCATCTCGACATCAAGATCTATGAACACGAGAAAAAAATGTATTTCAAGTTTTAAAAATAGCACATCTTGTAACGTATTTTGGACAGTCAATTTTCAGGTTTTCATATATCTACTGGATCTACACTATTTTTGAAGCTTTAAAGTTTGTAATTAAGGAAAAAGTTTATATAAGGTTGCAACTTTAAAATATAGAATTACAGTTGCCTCTCAAAAATTCTTTGGAAAATGTTGTTTTAATGTTTTGCAACCCTCAAATTGATCATCTTAACATCGAGATGTGTGAATATAAAAAAAAAAAAAGATTTTAAATCCAAGAAATAGTGCATTTTGAAATACATTATATAGACCATCCATTTTCAAGATTTTTATATGTTTATATATCTACTAGATTTTAACTATTTTTGGAGTTTAAAATTTTATAATTAGATATGAAAAGAGATAATCCTTGGAATTTTTTACACCAAAATTACACGTTATGATAAAATTTGGAGGTGTGTCTTAATTGGATTGTTTAAAGTTGCAACCTAATAAAAACCGCACACTAAAATTAAAGATGAAACTATATTTTACAGCTATCAAAAAGATTTTCCATATTAAAACCACACTTCCCAACATTATTTGTAAGTGGGCTCTAATTTGATTGTTTAGAGCTTGGGCTCTATCCAAACCGCATGCTCTAATTTGATTATTTAGAGCCCGGGCTTCATACAAACCGCAGATCTCTCTCCAAATCACCCCGTGAGTAACGTTTCTCACCCATATCTTCTATCTCTCTCTCTGTAAATATAGTAACCTTAATTAATAGGCGACAGACCTGCACCTCCTCTCCCCCTCTCTTTCTAAATAGGTGCAGAGCCATTAATCTCTCTCTCTTGAACGCAGATATAAACACAGATAAACCTTCGACCAACACCAAATTCCCAATCTCTAGCAACATGGGAACCCAACACCGCCTCTTCTTCACCTGCTTCTCTCTCTTGTTGGCAACATTTGCCATGGCCTCAGCAAGGGAGGCTTTCACTGGAGGGTACCAGCAAGTGCAGGCCAACGAAATCCACATTCAAGATCTCGGCAAATACGCCGTCTTGGCTTACAATAAACAGAGTGGAGCCAAGTTATCTTTCATCTCTGTTGTGGAAGCGAAGACACAAGTCGTATCAGGAGCGAATTATAAGTTGGCAATCCAGGCTCTTGAAGATCCATTCCTTAGGGTTTACAAGGCCATTGTGTGGGAGAAGTCATGGCTGAAATACAGGAATCTCACTTCCTTTGAAGCAGTTCTTGCTTAGTTTTAAGTTTTCAAGGTATTGAAAGGGTCTTGGATCTCTCTGTCTGTATGTTTCCTGTAATGGGTTTTGTTTCTATGAAATAATGATACATAGCTTTTTATTGTGAATAACATTTTGCTTGGTTAAACAATACGATTGGGATCAGTGTTTAAAAATATGGAATCAGGCGCTGAATTGCTAAGGGCAGGGACTGATTTGCTATTCATCCGGGCAAAATGAATCGCCTAAAACGGTCACACAATTTCACATAAAATAGTGTGAAATATTCACACTATTCGCTAAGCCGAACGCCGCCTAAAATAGTCTCCGAAAGTAAGAGCGATGCTATATGCCTTTTCGCCTTGCTGAACAACCTAAACAGGCTCAATCTTTCAAGAGGGGGCTGCAATGGGTCTGGTTGGCGCCGACCAGACCAGGTAGGTTTTACATGGACTCAGACACAAACCGGACCTGGGTTGGGTCCAAATCATTTGGACTCAAACTTGGACCCAGATCCGACTCAAGTAGTTTTCACATGGACCCGGATCTGAACTTGACTTGGGTTAGGTCCAAGTCATTTGCACTCGGATCCAACCCATATTGGATCTAGAAATAATAAAAAAGAAAAATTTAGAAAATAAAAAAATAATTTATATATTTTATACCAAGCATTACCTAGACCTTACCTGATAGGATTCCAAGCTAGACCCAGACCCCGAACTGGATCTGACCTAGGTCAAGTCAAAGTCATTTAGATCCAAACCTAATTGCTAGGTTCGACACATAGACCAAGACCCAAACCCAGATCTGACTAGGATCAGGTCCAAGTCATTTGGATCTAAACCCCACTTGCCGGCCACAACACATAGACCCGGACCCTGATCCGGGCCCAATTCAAGTTGAATCACCAAGTTGGTAGATCGACCTAACGCAATTGCTACCCCTAGTCGGGAGCAGGCTCATTCAACTTATGATATTCATCTTAGACCCAATTTGCGCATTTGTGCTATTCTGTGGTGCAGGCGGGCTTATCTGTTAAATGCCCTTATCAACGTTTCCAAACAACGTGAAAATAATCTTGTAGGCGGGAAGTACTATCCCTCAATCATAATTTGGGTTTTTGTTTCAGGGCAAGCTTTATAGCTTCCCTACTGCATAAAATTTATATACTTCCTTTTATTCAACCCACCATTTTAAATGGAAGGTTAAAATTGTCCCAATCACAATGTCACGTCTCTACACTATTTTATTTTTAATTTTTTTTCTATAAACTATTTTGACGCCAAAATTTGGATGCCCAATCCTATATTAAACTCGCACTAACGAAAACTATATAAAAAATATTTTCAATAAAATAAAATGATCAAAATACCCTTGAAAGTTTTAAGGGGTATTTTGGTCATTATATTTTATTGAAAAATTATTTTTAATAAAATTATTTTTTCTATAAACTATTTTGACACCAAAATTTGGATGCCCAATCCTATATTAAACTCGCACTAACGAAAACTATATAAAAAATATTTTCAATAAAATAAAATGATCAAAATACCCTTGAAAGTTTTAAGGGGTATTTTGGTCATTATATTTTATTGAAAAATTATTTTTAATATTTTTTTATGGTGCACCCCAATGAGAAGATGTCACGTATTAAATTTCATACTCATAAGATTTGTATAAAAAAAAACTAAAAATAAAATACTTTGAGATGTCGGATCTAAGATCAAATGGTGAGTGGCTCTCATGATTAAAATTAAACGGCTGGATGGTAAGGGAAGCATAGATCTTCTATGCTATAGGAGAAGCATAAAAATCTTTCCCTTTATTTAAATAGGTCTCTTATTCAAGAGACTATGTTTACACTTTACACTTTACACCATACCCACTCTTTTCTAAAGTAATTTCTTAAGCGATTAGTGCATGGGTTCAAACTTTAAACAGACGTTGGATTGGACCAAGGTTCAGA